TTAACTTGACAAATTTCGTTAATCCCACATGTTTTTATAGCTCGATAACTATCCGTAAATTTGGACAACATAGTTTCTGTGTCTATAAATTTCGACAACTCAGTAAACATTGATCGGTTTGAATAATTCGATACGGTGCGACAACTTAATAAGCATGGATAAATTTCGATAATTATAAACTTCGATGATTCGATATATTTCAGTAACCTTTATGGCTGATTTTATTTCGATTCCTATCGGAAAATTTCAGCTCTGTTAACCTAATTCTTATGTATTTCTCATTGTCTCCATTTTCGCCTTTATCTCCATTTTCGACTTGATCTTCACTTTTGCCTTTTTTTGTCTTCATCGTTATCACTTGTTTCTTCATCTTCATATTTATCTTTATTTCAAAGTTTAATTTCAAATACGAAGTAAAACCAAATGCGAAACCGCTTAAATTGAATAGGTTGCATACACAAATATGGAAATTTTTAAACGACGATTTTCAACCAATTTCGAAACTATAAAAACTCTCCTCATCTACAGAAAACTACTTTTCCAACGGTGTTTTTGGATTTGAAATCGGTAACTTTACCTTGGTCTTCATCTTTGTTTTTATCTTTCACATCTTTGCTTATATCCTCTTCTTTTTCTTCTCACGTAGATGAGATGAGGTGCGATGAAGTGATAAGATGTGACGTGATTTTATGTGATGTGATAGGGTGTCATGTCATGTGTTGTCATATCCTGTGATGTCATGTCATATGACGTCATACCATACGATGTCATATCATGTGATGTCAAGTCATGTGATGTCATGCCATATAATGTGATGTCACGTGATATCGTGTGATGTGATATCATATTATGTGATGTAATATCATGTTATGTCTCTTTATATCATGTAATAAAATGTGATGTGATGTCATGTAATGTGATCACATTCCATGTTCCGATTAGTATATCGATAACACTGTTGGTAACTGTGTCGATAAAAATACCGATAACAATATCCATAAACATGTAGAAAAATACAACGATTGTAAGATCGATTAATTCATCGATAAATATAACAATCATCAGTATCGATTATTGTACATATCGTTAAAAATATAAATGACTAACTCGATAACAAAATCAATTATTTAATCGATTATTATACCTATAACAATATCAATTATTGTATCGATAACAATATCGATTATTATTATTGATTATTATATCGATTACAATAGCGGTTATTTAATCAATAACAGTATCGATAACAATATAGATTATTTTATCGATAGCAATATCGATAAAAATATCGATTATTATATCGATAAAAATATCGAGTTTTATATCGATAACAATATCGATCTTCACCTCATCCTTTTCTTCATATTTATCTTTATTTTTGCATATTCCTCTCACCTTTACCTTAATAATAATAATAATAGATTGGCGCTTACACATATGTTAGTGTTTGGCCGAGCTTCTCCTCCGATTTGTGGCGTGCGCCTTGATGTTGTCACACAAAGCGGAGGGACCTACAGTTTTACGCCGACTCCGAACGGCGATTGTGTTTTTATGAGAAGCTGTTGTTCATGGCAGAAATACACTCGGAGGTTTGCTATTGCCTGCCGAGGGACGACCGCTGTTAAGAAAAAAACCTTTTTTCTATATTTTTTTACCTTAAAGTGTTTAAATTTACTTTGATCGTCGTTTTTGCCTGAACCTCTAGGCATCTTTGTTTTTGTTTTTATTCTCAAACCGTTAAACCGCTGAGTACCATTTCCATGTGCATTATTCCCCTCGAATTTGACGATTTACTCCCAACCAACTGCCGCTAAAGAAGTTTCACTTCATAAATTCAAAAAATGTTCTTACCATTTCAGTTACCCTAATTCTTATGTATCGGTCACTGTCTCCATTTTCGACTTTATCTTCACTTTTGCCTCCTTTTTTTGACTTCATCGTTACCATTTATTTCTTCATCTTCATATTTATCTTTATTTCAAAGCTTAATTTCAAATGTGTAGTGAAGCAACAGGCGAAACATGTCAAATTGAACATGTTGCAGCAACATGTATACACAATTCGAAAATGTTTAAACGATGGTTTTGGCCGTAATTTTCAACCAATTGTGAAACCATAAAAACTCTGTTCAACTACGGAAAAATGCCTTTCCAATGGTGTTCTTGGTTTTGAAATCGGTTCGGTAAAATCGCCAAACGAACGGAGACAAAATTTATGTTAGCGTATTAATATATAGATTAGGTGTAATTAATGATTAATTTGTAACCTAACCTACATTTGTATGTGTGTAACTGAATCGCCTAATAGCTTTACATATAAAAAGATTATCCTAATTTTCGAGCTTAACTCCCTAATCTGTTATTAGAAAAAGAGATTAGCCATATAAAATTATAATTAAAAATATCTCAGATTAAACCGATAACTTTTTGGTGTCCAACCTAGTTTTATCGATTACACTTGCGAAGAAGAGGAATGTCAAATGTTGACGCTGAAAAATTGACGCTGGTAAGGAAAATAGGTTTGTAAATGTATTTTTAATAAAATATTCAGTTAAAATATATTTAAATGGCATAATATGTGTTGCAGAAAAAAGTGACCACGGTGGCACAGAGAAGAAGTTTAACTTTTCCTCGAGTTTTGTGAATAACAAGCACAACCAATTTGACAGCTAACGAGCTTTGATTGAGATTATATTTATATGTAAACGCACTTTTATGCTTTGCTGTTCGCATATGTTTACACATCAAATATCATGAGTACCTAGTACTCACGCCTTTTTTTTAACTCTTATCTTGAAAGCGATATTAACTAGCGCTAACTAAGCTTGGAGTCGAGAGCCAATTAGTTGGGCTCATCTCTCGCATGTTGTACGACAGAACTGTCATAGCGGAATGGGGAAATGCCTCTGGCCAGCGTAAAGTGAGGCTCCCCGCAGGGAGGCGTCCTCTCGCTTTCTCTGGATAGTCGTAATAAACGACGTCCTGGAGGAGTTGCAAATAAGGGGATGCCAGGTTATTGCCTACGCGAATGATGTGGCCCTCATCGTCAGAGGAAAGTTCCTGGACACTCTGTATGATCTCATGCAAGGGTACCAGAACTTGATCCCAAACTGGTCTTCTAGCTGTGGACTCGCTATTAATCCTGGAAAGACAGAGCTAAAGCTATTCACCAGGAGGTATAAAGTGCCTCAAGCCCATCTTACCGCGTTAGGAAGTGTTTCCCTTGTTCTTTCTTACAATGTCAAGTTCTTGGGCGTGATCCTGGACAGGAAGTTATCTTGGAGGCAAAATATCAAGGAGCGAGTAAAAAAGGCATCAGTCACTCTTTACTGCTGTAAAAATGCTATAGAGAAAAGATGGGGCCTCTCTCTAAAAGTGATATATTGGCTGTATGAAACCATAGTCAAGCCACTTATGTTATATGGGGCCATTGTCTGGTGAAATTTACTGGAAAAGTCTACTCTTGGCAGGAAGCTAGTGCGTATGCAAAGGGCGGCCCTCGTTGCAATCAGCGGGGCTCTCCAGACCACTCCACCTATAGCGATAAATGCTATGCTCAGCGTTGCACCTGTTGACATAGCGGGAAGAATAACGGCGGTCCGCTCGGCCATTAGGCTTAAAAACTCTGGGTTCTGTTTGAACACAGCACACGGCCACTCGACGACTATCAAAAGTTTCGATTTCCTTCCGGAAGAATTGGACTGGCGTTTTCCGAGGCTGGCCCCCTTCTCCATGCACATTGCTCCAAGGAGCGAATGGGAGAATGGCAGTCTCTGGAATAGGGGTCCAATAAACATATTCGCGGACGGATCGAAGCTGGACGGAAGAGTCGGTGGAGGGGTCTACTCTCGATAGATCATATGTTTGGACTGCCGGACCTCTGTAGCGTTTTTCAAGCAGAGGTGGCCGCTATAAGAGAGGCAACCGATTGGCTACTCACCAACCTCTTGCCAACTAGGAGAGTAAATATCTACTCTGATAGCCAGGCGGCTATAAAAACGCTGGGATCGCTTATGGTATGATCGAAACTGTTCGGGGAATGCCTAACC